GTAATACATGATGAGAGAAAAGAGATCGAAGCTATATTGAGAAGATAGAGGACTTAGAAAATATCTTAAATTGGAGAAAAAGCAGAGAAACTGCGAAGATATCAATATTTATATTTCATAATTAATCTATTGATCAGTCAAATACATTAGATCCATCTGAATAATTTGTTTTATCATAATAATGTTTTCAGGTGCGGTGACAAACTTATTCATTGATAAATGTTATTTGATGATATCCAAAGTATCTATTATAGTATGATCAAGTTTTTCAGGTAATATTGAAACTAGAAGGAATAGTATTCATCTTGTAGAATGTTTCAACAAAATATTGAATATTGATTTTCTATAAACACACCTCGATGTGAGTAATTCTTTATTATCAATGTCAATATTTTAAATATTTCAATCGTTTTATGACAGGAGCAGCCCGTATCAGAAACTTGTAGAATTTGAAACTGAGATAACTATTTGGACTTATATGTGACCGATCTAATTATTTCTGAATACAAACGCATCCATTTCAACTATAAAAATATTCGAGTATAAATGCAGGCACACTTTTGAGAAGTCAGTTACAATATAAATTGGATAGCCATAAGGGGTTCGGAGTGAAAATATAAACTATAGGAATTAACACATAGTTCGTAAGACATTTTCATCATACTATAAAAACATAGCTTTCGTTTGTTTTGTAATCGTTATATATTGCATATCTCTTTTAAATCAAATATTGAACTATGTAGAATTCTAAAAGACAAAAAGTATTCATCTAAATATCTAAGACGTTGAATTAAGTAACTACAATAGATATATCATTTCAATGGTGAGAAACACTTCTTTTCTTCCCATATGATCAAATATTTTCTTCTGTACTATTAGTTTTTGGTAGTAAATCAATGTCTGTTTGATAAAGACTTAATAGATTCGTAAGATTTTCTATAAATATTATTTCATTTTCCGTTGCTGATTTGAATTTAGAAAGAATTTCAGAAAATTGGTGAATTCTAAATGATTTTTATTTGAAGGCGAGATTTTTTGACTCAATTATTACTAAGATGATCAGAGCGCGAAAAATGAATTACATTTACAATTAATTTACTTATAATGACTGATCAATACACATTGTTCATATTACTCTTTAAATCCATACCATTTGCTTATGATTTCTGAATGATGTTTGAAATGTTTCTTATTATTTATGATTGATTAGGAAAAAAACATTAGTCGCATATATTTTCTCTCATTCATCGTTTTAATTGAATAGAGAGCAAGTGTGCCTATCGACTTTTTCCTAATTGGAATGCATTTCATTAAATTCTCTCATAAAATATATTGAAAATGAAGATTATTGTTTTTTAAAGTTAAGAGGTTAGATAAAATAATTTTTAGTTTCTCAATCGTATTCTAAGGTGTTCATGTTTCAATAATCAGTTTCAAATATATGCACTATAGCAAAATATCAGAGAATATAATATATAAAATTCTTGCTATATTTCGTCACGTCAAAGATTAATGAAAATTATATTTCAATAAAATAATTCAGACTAAAATATTCGTTTCGCAACCAAATAACTAGAACGGAATCGACATCCGTTTATGAATATTTTTTGTTTATACATATATGACGCATTCACTCTATACTTATGTAACTATAAAATCATTCATATAATATATTATAACAATGTAAAAGAAAATTTATTGAGAACATACCAAAAAATTAATTTTCTACGTTCTAACAGTGCGTCGTCTACTTAATGAATATAATTAGTTATTAATAAACTCGGAATAATGTATGAAAGAAATATGTTAGCATCTTCTTCGTTTTTTCGATAAGTGATCGGATAAAATAATATTACATTAAGCCCTGTACAAAACATATAAAGTGTTTCAATCTTAAATAATTCTTCAAATCTTACAAAAATCTTTCTCCTTAAACTTACTATTGAGAATTCTTTTCAAACTGTCACATGATTCCTTCTAAAGAACCTGTTACAGATTCATTCTCATGGTTTCTCTACTCGTTTCTAGAATGACGACTATTAGGAAGAATATTTCTCTAATTTGCGACTTGATAATTCCCTTTCAATTTACATGAATTCCTAAAAAAAAGTTCTACTGAAGGAATATTGCCCTACACATTCGAAATTGCAGGACTGAGATTTCTATTACTAATTTAGATATTATCCATCGAATTAGCTAGTGGTACTCAGAGATGGGCAAGTCAAATCAAAAAATGACTTGATGATTTTTTTGAATGGATTATGACTTGACTTGACTTGACTTGACTTGAAATTTTCAGAAGCTGACTTGACTTGACTTGAGTCGAAAAAACGCTGACTTGCCCATCTCTGGTGGTACTCGCGAGAGTAATTCGATTCTTTTCTAACACTATTTGTTAGTATAAAAATAAATCCCACAATAGAATCATTCATTTAGATTAAAAGGGTGTGGGTGTAGATGTGATTTTTTTCTTGGCTAGAGAAATGCTCATTTATCTGATTTTATTCATACTGATGACTGAGAAATCGAGATTTACTTTAAAAAAATAGGTATTACTGATTCGTGCCATCTTATCATAGAATAAATTTGTCTATGGATAGTTTCAAAGCATGATATGACATGAAGAAAGAGACTATACGATGACGTCGATGAAAATTATATGAGATATATTTTTGTATAGTTAAGAAAATAGTATATTGTTCTTGCGAAAAAATATACCAAACGACATATAGCCAGATTATTTTGGTTCAATGCAAATAAATAAATGTTAATCTTAAGTCGTCATTTAGTAATATTTCGTTCGCGAAACTCTTTTAGAACATCTTTTAGTGCAAAATTCTTAATCGATTCTTGTCAGTTAATACTATCTTTATTTCACCAACATGCGTTTTTTCACAGAAGAAGATATTATATTTATGTAAATTTTATTAGATCGGAAACTTTATAATATGTGCACTTATCAAATAAGACTTAACACTCAATATCCCGCTTAAATTTTCTCGAATTTCAAAGAATTTCAAGAGAAGAAACCCAAACAAATTAAAGTATCGAAAAAATACTATGTTCATATTTCAATATAAACACAATTCTGAGCTATCTTCAGTGATAATAAATAATTATTCTCGATTCATTTTGTTTCTCGAAAAAGAAAACAATTTCTTTGTAAAGATCTTATCATTTTAATAAGAAAATATCCGGTATGGGATTTACTATTAAACTTTGTATTTAAAAACCAAGTCGTTCAATTGCGTAGCCAGTGTGGGTGTGGGTGTGAGTGTTCTTCTTTCATATACACCCACACCCTCAAGAAAAATATAAGAAATAAATCATTATATATCATATATGTTCATAGAGAATATAGACTCTCATGTCTCAAAAATACAAAGCAAAATATAGAACTATTTTGATTCAAAAAAAATGTCATTTTAAACATAACAAGAGCATTAGAGAGAACTATATTGTTTCCTATAGAATAATCTTTCAGTATATACGTAGAAAAACTTATTCTGACGAATTTCTAGAAATAAAAAGAATGATCTATTCAAAGAATTTTACTCGATACTTTCAAAATTATTTCATATACTAACTATACTCGAGAAAGAGAAAGGTCGCCTTTTATTCTTACGTTTTCTCTTCTAGTTAATATTCCTGCTAATGCTACGTGGGCACAGAACGGAGTGAGTATTGCTGGAGGTCACGGAGGTGGGGATGCCACTAATCAACTCTACCGCCCTTTTGGCCTCTTTGTTGATGATGATCAAGCAGTATTTATTGCTGACTTCTGGAATCATCGTATCATGCAATGGAAGAACGGTGATACAACGAGTGGACAAGTTGTTGCTGGTGGCAAAGGCGAAGGAAATGGATCACACCAATTGAAGCGTCCAACAAATGTATTAATTGACAAAGAGACGGATAATCTCATTATTTGTGATCGAGAGAATCGACGAGTTGTACAATGGTCTCGTCGTAGTGGTACAACACAAGGTGAAATACTCATCGACAACATCGATTGTTGTGGATTAGCCATGGATGAGCAGAGATATCTCTACGTTTCTGACCACGGAAAACATGAAGTAAGACGATATCAATTGGGTGAGAAGAATGGCACTCTCGTAGCTGGTGGTAATGGTAAAGGTGATGGTCTCAATCAACTCAACGTGCCGACATATCTCTTTATCGATCGAGATCATTCAGTGTACGTATCAGACAACAACAATCATCGTGTAATGAAATGGAATAAAGGTGCAAAAGAAGGTATTGTGGTCGCTGGAGGGCAAGGCTACGGAGATGCTCTCACACAATTGTCTTTTCCTAATGAAATCTTCGTTGATACGTTGGATACACTCTATGTAGCAGACACGTTGAATAATCGTGTAATGCGTTGGACTCAAGGAGACAAGAAACAAGGCATTGTAATTGTGGGTAGAAATGGCCAAGGAGAAGGCGCAAATCAGTTTCACTTACCCGTTGGTTTGTCTTTGGATCGACATGGTAACCTCTATGTCGCCGATCAGTATAATCATCGTGTTCAACGATTTTCTATCGAATAAGACTTGTGAATTGTTTTTTCTTTGTTCGTTTCTTTTTCTATACTTCAAAATAAATGAACAAAAAAATAAGAAATTTTCTTTTACTCTTTCGCTTGAAAGAAAGGAAAAAAGCTAAAATATAAAATTACGTCATATGTTACTTTTCTTCTTCTTTTATTTATTTATTTGTTAAATGAAAAGAAAAAATTTGAGTTATTTTAATAATGTTTATTTTAAAAATCAAAAAAATAAAACTACAAAAAAATAAACAACAACAGTGAAAATATATATATACTTACATTTGTGTTCGTTTGGATTGAATTGAATTGAATTGTTGAATGGAACTAAAGCATAAAAATAACAATTAATTTTATTTTTTTGGAATCAGATAAGTGACAGTAATTATATTTACTTTGCTGTTGAAGAAATCGAGATGAACTAAAACGAAATAAGCAGAAATGAATTGATTGGAATGAACAATTTTTTTTTGCTTACCAGCTAATAGTTGCTCGCTCGACCAAAAACTACCTTGGTGGTGCCATAGAGAGCCAAGGCTCTTCACGTACAGACATAGATCTAACGTGTATAGAACATACAAGAGGAAGATCTATATGCGGCCTGTACGTGCTATGGGCACCAAGGTAGGCTTGGCCAGTTTCACGCCGATGTATGGAAGGCCTCCGTAGGACGTAAAATATATACATATNCTACCTTGGTGGTGCCATAGAGAGCCGAGGCTCTTCACGTACAGACATAGATCTAGCGTGTATAGAACATACAACAGGAAGATCTATATGCGGCCTGTACGTGCTATGGGCACCAAGGTAGGCTTGGCCAGTTTCACGCCGATGTATGGAAGGCCTCCGTAGGACGTAAAATATATACATATATACAAAAAGTTATACTTACTCTTTTGTATCACTAAAATAGAAAATAGAAATAGAAAAAAAATTTAAACTAAAATGAAAATAGAAAGACAATTATAATCAAATAAAAATAAAAATAAATAAATGAGATAAAAAGCTGAGGCAACGAAAATAAAATTAAACTAATACTTACCTATGATATTGAACCATGGTCAGTAACGAATACAAGCTAAAATAGTTAAAAAATAAAATATACATTTAATAATGTAAGAAGAGAAAGAAAGATGGGGAATGATTTCTAACGTTGAAAATCATTACTATTTATAGTCATTTTTGTCATTCGTGATAATTAGACAATTGGTAAGCAATCGAGATCAAATGAATTTCATTTCTATTTGTAAAATTTAACTTTCCGCTCACTACATAAAGTGGTCTTTGATGGCTTTGATTGACTGCTATGCAATCGATCGTAAAGATCACAAGCATTCCTGAGAGTGACAAAAAATCAAATCTTGTAGTATTGACTAGACCGCTAATTGATCTTTTATGTTGTCGTGTTACATCGTATATGCACTAACAACAATTATTGACGATGAAGATGAAGCTATTCTTATTAAAAAATAAAATGATTTATTTTCTTTTATATTTATTTTTCTAGATGATACATTTTACATGTATAGAAAAATTGTTCAATATTTATATGACTTATTTTTCAATTAAATCTTATCATCATCATCATCATCTTAAACGTATTCAAATAAAATTAATTCTATTTTTACTTCAATCAAATAAATGTGTGAGCAAAGTAAGTTTGTCATGAAATGAATTGCTGTTCATAAAATTTCTTTCTTTTAGGATCCCAGGTGAATCAATCCGATACCGAATCCCATCGGATTCTATGGGGTCCTACCATCCGATAAAATCCAGTTGGATTCCTGGTTGAGGAATCAATGTCGAATCCGACAGTCGTATTTCCAATGCTATCCGATTGTCGGAACCAATGTAATCCGAAGCATTCCGGTTCCGATTGACGGTTACTGTCGGATTTGGTTAGTTTCCGATATTAGGATCCGATATCGATTCCGGAACCAGGAATCCGACGATAATCCGATAGTTTCCTTGCACCTTCTGAAGAGCTCCGTCGAATTCCAATAGGAACCGATCGGAACTCATCGGATCCTAGGCTAGGATTCATTCTCCTGGGAACTCCATGGCACTGCTTTACAATGCATTATTGACACTATTTAAAATAAAACTAAACTATCCGATAGTTGTTAGTATTCAATGAGTTTTTAAAATCTTGAGGAATGGGCGGGAAAAAAAGATGCATGCGTACATTGTCGTAGTGATAATCTTACTGATGCTCTTCATGATGTGAATGTTATCTTCATATTTAGTTTGGAATGATTCAATAGAATCTTATTGATTTATTCTATTTGAACTAGAACTTAGATCAACTTCATATTATTCCTTCAAACTATTTTTATCATTAAAGCTACTGATACTTTTCAATCGAAATGGAATAACAAAATAGGTCAATATCGTTCTAAACTGATGCCAACAAAAAATAAATACACAGATTATTTTACGGTCATTTTATTTTCAATTTCCAATATTCTTGTATTCTGGTTACAAATAGTTTGCTCAAAGCTTTATGACTTTGGCTTTAAAGAAAGAAAAAACTATATGATCAAACTGATAATTAAGAAATTAGACGTGTGTATTCAACACAAATCAAGTTTAGTTATAGTGTTTTAAAAGTATATTTAATGTGCTGAATAATTTTTCTCTTACACATCGCATATCGTTACTAATCAAATGGTGAAAGAAATTTAAATATAACATGATTTTATAGTTAATAATTAAATCAACTTTGAATTAGATATCTTAACACAATGAATAAATCCATATGAAAGTAAAATATTAAGTTTTTGCCAACAGTATTTCGATAAAACTTTTCCCAATTGATTAAACGTATCTTGCAAGTAAAAGAAAATTTTAATTATAACATTTCATTTGATGCACAGAAAATGGTGTCTCACACACTATACAAATCGTGAACTAATAAAAAACACATGTTGTTCGAATATTACTTTTTCTCATTCGCACATAAAATCAATTAAAAAACAACTTGACATAGTGGTACTCTTACTAAAATCAGTAAAAAAGAGAAAAGATGAAAATAATATACAAAGTCAAACACAGAGTGACCAATTACAAAAAGCGCCTGATTTTGAAAAAATAACAAAAAATATTTTTCGATCACAGCGACTGAGACTGATCTGAAATAGGTGTATATGTTAGAGGGGAAATTAAAATTTTAATCTCACCTAGGGCAAATTAAAATTTTTTGTATTTTTTGTATAATTTTTGATTTTTCTGAAATAGGTAAAAATGAATATTCATCTTGAGGTCTAGACAGAAATGTTTGTGAGAATGTCCATCATCTCGGTGGGTGTAGCTGTACAAAGTCAGTTTGAATGCACAATATAAGTGCGGATGAGGGTGAGGGCGAGGGCTTGATTAGTACGGGCTCACATCCTTCCACACTCACACTCACACCCACACCCACACCCACATATAGACCCACATCCACCCACACCACCACACAAACAGTACATTTTTACCTATTTCGGAAAAATCGAAAATTATATAAAAAATACAAAAAATTTTTAATTTCCCCTAGGGGAAATTTAAATTGCCCTGGATTTTAATTTCCGCTCCAACATATATATATTAAAAACAACTGACGAGCTTAAAATCATACTTTTCAATGTAGCTCTAGATTGTTTTTTTTTGCATAGCACACTAGATCATGCATTTTAAATAGCGAGTTAAAAGTAACAAACTTTTGTTCATTCACCGTAGCAGATATGGAAATTTTCGACTAGCCTTCAAATGATGAAAGACCATCAGCTCAACTGCAATAAAAACCTCTCCGGGTGTGAACACTATTGTAACCGGCAGAAATTGCTCGATTTACTGAGGTATTCGCTAATGAGAGGTTAATAATTATTCTTTGCCAACTATGATTATATCTACATCGACTGATCTTTTTGATATACTGCAATGCTATAAGCTGTTAACATAAAAACGACTCGATTCATTATCAAGAACTATTTTGCTTTCATTTAGTAAATGCAATACAGATAACATCACTTCTTTTTTATTCTGCATGTGAAAGATGCACCAAATGTTGCTCTTAGCACACAGATTTTTATTGATTACGACATTAAAAATATAAGAGCCCATTGTTGAGAACAAGCAGATGCTCATATGAAAAGATTTCATAGTTTATATCTGCAACGATTATATATTTTATTGTGCATTTAAAAGTAATGAAAATAGTTTTGCATATTAAGTCCTAAGATAATATTATATTTGTATTTATAACTTTCTGATCCATATTTTATTAATTTGACTGAGCAATAACATTATGAAAACGTTTTTTCCATAAGCGTATGATTATAGATTAGAATGAAGGTGTGCATACATCCACACCCATATCTAGAATGCCAACTATTTGAAAATTCCTATTAAAAAAAGCTGCATACTTGATTATCGACGGCAGTTGAAAAAAGCTGCCTATACATTTTCAATTGATTGTTTTGCATGAATTTTAAGGAAATTTATTTCATATCAAAATAAAAATAGTTATAATAATCAAGATTAAAAGCCTGCAAAGTCATATAGTCTATTTTTTGTCTGGATGCGAATATTTAGAGCGATGTTGAGGATTTTTATCAAAGCATTTATTACCATGTCGACATGACGTTTTATCTTGATTTGAGCCTCTATGACCTTGATTTCGATCTTCATCTGGATGTGAAAATTTTGAGCAATGCTGACGATCATTTTTGTCACGACAGCCGCTTCCATGACGACAAGTGATTCGTGCAGAGTTTGAACTAGGTGAAGATTCACTTTCATCTGGATGTGAAAATTTTGAGCAATGCTGACGATCATTTTTGTCACGACAGCCGCTTCCATGACGACAAATGATTCGTGCAGAGCTTGAACTAGGTGAAGATTCACTTTCA